GACATGGAAGTTTCCGAAAATAGGGGACCCTGATATAGTACCCTAAACAGCAGGATCCTAAAAATAAGGACCCCGAAATACGGTACCCTTATTTTCGGAAACTCCCATATCCCGAATCCAGCCCACATGCGCAACCCCCGTAAGGATTTGCTGTTCACAACACCTTGAACGCAAGGTCTCTCAGCAGCCTGGCGTTTGGAAACATTTTTTGATAAAGCAAAATAGAAAGTGGTGAAACAGGAGCCTCAAAGATGGGCTTTGTGACTACACGAAAACTGTGTTCAGATATGGACAGCAAGGGCTCTGACCCCTTGCGGCATCTTTTCGATTGCTTAGACTCCAATGGTGCTACAGTACAGATCTCGAAGGGACGTACTTTCTGGATCGGAGGTCTTAAGCCTATATCCCGAAACCTTAAGCCCTAAACCTTCAACCTGAAACTCTAAACATCAACACACATACCACAACCCTGAAGGACTCAAGTAAACCTTAGTCCCTACGTCCTAAAACTTTACCCTGCAAACAAACCTCCAGCGGGTCTGCTCGCCTGCTTCGCGCGCTGTACAGGGCTCCTTGCATCCTGCAGATTGCGGGACCAAGGCTACAAAGAGTATCAGATAAGGGGTCCTAGAATTAACATGGTAGTTCTCAGGGTTTAGACGTCGGGATCGGATGAGGAGATTACCAGGCTTTGAATAAATGACAGGCGGAAGACCCCAAGTGTACCCAACACTCAAGGCCTGGCTTTGGCTGAGATGGAGGAATCACAAGTAGAACATCGTGACGCAAGGCCAAATCTTACATCAACTTAAGTCCACAGTCCCCTCAGCCATGCACAGCCATGAAGCAACCGACATTGCCCCAGGTTAAGTCCTGATTGTGGCATTGTGGGTATTGCTGGCTTAGTTAGTTCTTAGGCTTGAGGTGTCTAGGATCAGACTTTGACAATCCTGCCAGACAACGACAAAAGTCTGGATGCCCGCGTGGCAGAAACGGTGAGGGCCTAAAAACCCAAGCGCAAGCGCCCAATATTCCGTGGGCCTGTCGCCCTGTGGAGAATTTCTGGCTCCTTTCACAAAATGCCAGATGAAGCCTGCGAAGCTGCCATACTTCCGGTTCCTTGTTGGGGTTATACTAAAAAGGATCACTGTTGCTCCATATTGGGTCTTATTCCCTCAAAAAGTAAACTTGCAGCCAACAAGGACCCATTGGGTCAAATGAATGAACGACAGTTGCGACGCCTCGAGAATATGTCCGGTGCCGATTTCCGGTACCCTAAATCGGGAGGTACATGGAAGGTCTTGGAGTTTTACAATACAGGGACCTGCATCGAACAAAAGTGAGGAGACCCCCAGGCAGGAAGAGCCTGCGAGCCCGAACCCAAACTGGAAAGTGCTACCAGCTGAGGGTTTGGGGTTTGGGCTGTTTAAAGTTTTCGGGTTTACGGGTTTAGGGCTCAAGCCTTAGGGTTTAAGGTAAGACTGCTCTCGAGAGAGCAGGATTCAGGAAAGGGTTCAGGGACAGGGACCTATCCTGGTGCACTCCCAACTCGACACACGCGTTTGGGATGACACCAACCTAAGCAATTGATGTAGACTCCTGGTTTACGTACAGCAAGAGTTACACAGTGTATTTACACCGAACCGTCAACTCAGTCTTCTGTCTCCAAGTGATGATTGCATGCAGGCTGCCTCCTATCGCGCCCATGCCAAATGCACCGCCAAGGTCCTGCAAAGGCACTGTCTCGTAATCCTGAGCCCCTAAATTGTACCAAACCCTACGCAAAGCCAAAGCCCTAAACCTTCGATAGAAACCCCAGAGCCTCAGACAGAAACCCCAAAGCCCTCGCCATCCCGGTTTGAAGACAACATAAACCCTAAATCCTAAATGCCTCAACCCTTGACAATCCCCCCCCCCTTAGGTGGCTTTTGATTCCGAAAGCCTCAAACCCCAGGTGTCACTCGATCTTGTGATTATTTGTGCTACAGGTTTACAGGCCGCGGGCCTTCATAATTGGAAAGAGGCCTTTTGGACACTTTATTCTATACTTATAGATTATAGTTAAGAACCCTTCTTTTGAGGGACTCTGGTGCCCCGAGGGGAGTCCTGGATTCAGCTTGCAAAAGTGAAACTCCTTTCCGGATGGCTTTCTCGGGCTATTTGCAGGCGCCTTCGACAGCTCTGAGTTCATCCGGATTGGGCGGAAGAAGCCATGCTGTGTCTGCGGTGTGAAGCAAACAAGCTGGCGGCCTCTTCCAGTGGTGTTGGACCCTCTGCACGGTCCCAAAGACCTTGAGGCACGACACACATGTGTCAGTGTGGGCCAAGAAGTAATGACATCGTGTCGCCGTGCCAAGTGGACCCACAAATACTTACGCAGAGGCAACGTGGCGCCACATTCCAAACAACGACAGGGCTGCTCCAATGTGCCAGGCGTGTCAGAAAAATCCACTGCCTCCCACTCTGTCTGTGGCGGGCCAGTGTCCAACAAAGTCTGTGCAGCAGGGGCGTGCTGTGCGGCATGCTTGACATCGGCCAGAATCTGGCCTAAGCATGAGTTGGTCGAATCCGCCTCCGAATGGGCCCACAGAACACTTTGAAGGGAAGAGGGACCATTGTGGACCACTTGCCGACGCGGCAAAGCTCTAGCAATTGCTGAGGCAAAGGAGGGAGATGGTGCCTCGCAAAGGGGACGCCGCAGGGCCCCATACGCCCGAGCACACACGCAGAAGTGCAGGGCAATCGAAAGCCGGAAAACAGAGCTTCCGAAGACAAAGCGCGACATGGCCAGCGACAGGAGCAGGTGGCGGCGTATTGGCAACGGGATACCGCTCGCTGCAAAGAGCTTAGTCCGAAGCGGGCGGATGAGCGTGTGAGCCTCGGCCTGCCGAAAACCTATTTCCCAGCCAAATGCCTGGGATCTGCGTCGGAACTGTCGTGGTAGCTGCGTTCACATCTTGCTGGGGAAGCCCATCAAACAACATGGTCCGCTGCTGGCTCAAATCCCCTTGACCTGGATGTACTGGTGAAATACTTGGGCTTGGCATCACCATGGAAGGCCCGAGAAGGGACCTTTACCGCAAGGTGAGATCCATCCGTCATAGGAGGCTTCTTGTGTCCAGGGTGCGCCTCCACATACGAGGAAGTTGGGCCAGCCGAACAAGCTTGTTCTGGAGGCGTCCAGCCGGTGGCCCAGCCAGTCCAAGGCGGAGCCAACGTGGCCGTGGCCCATTCTGGGACCCAGCCTCTTTCTCCCACGCTCCTCTCCCATGAACATCTGGCCCGCCGAGGGCAGCTGCACCATATGCCTGACGGACAAGCTGGCGAGCTCTGGCTTGCTCCGCTGCTGCTTGGAAGAAACTCCAGGTACGTCACTTTCATCGGATGGTCGAAGCCGTGCACTGGGTACTTGCCCGGTCGCGAACGGCTTGAAGACCTTTCCTCCGCCTTCCGAGCCGAATGAGAAACCCCTGAGCGCGTATCTGGCTGACTTCCCTCCGGCATCGCGATGTAGGCAGGAAAATTCGGGCCTTTGGTCCAGTCCTTCCAATACTGCCACCCCAAAGACTCATCCGATCCTCCAGGTGGTCCTCCACCGCGTCGCCTCCCCATGTCTTGATCTTGCCGCGCCTGGAGGCGGGCCAGGTCCTCGCAGAGTGGCCTCCACCCGCGGAGGCGTGGCGAGGCACGAGGCGTGGCTTCTACCACTGGGGCTCTAAGGTGATTTCTGCTGCTGGGATGCCCCTGAGCCCCAGCAAAAGTATCAGCAATTGTTCAGATATTCAGGCACCGAGGCTATGGCTGCAACGGCTTTTGTGGAGATGACAACTGCAGCAACCATCGCTCTCAATAGTAAAGCAGTGGCCGACTACAGCCATAGCGACCCGGCCTCAATAATTCCAATGAGACCACGAATCACCTATGTACAAGCCTAAGTAATTACCAATAGAATATTGCTCCATAGGGTTCCTTATGTTTATACTACAACGTACCCTAACACCCCATTCTAATTATTAAGGCCCCTAGAGTATGAACCGTCAGCAGACTGGCAGTCAACAACAAATCACACCCGAAGCCCCTAGCGGGCCTCACCCCCAAACCGAACCCATCGAGAACCCCTACAGTAACCACACAAAAAGGAACCCTGGTCGGAATCCTCCTCAGGAATAGTGCCCTTACCGAAATCCTTGCCCGAAGAACAACCCTTCGACCCGTGCGAAGCCCAAGCAACCCTAAGACCACCCCGAGTCTGGAGCAAAATCCTTCGAAAAGAGGGCTCCTCAATAATTCGGTCGGGGCATGGCTCACGACCCGCGTCGCGGTCACCTGCGCCCGGAGCACGGCACACCAGGGAACCCTGGGTGAATTAGGCTTTCGGGTTTCAGGCTTTCAAGGCTTTACAGCTTCAGGGCTTTCGGGGTTTTCGGGTTTTAGGGTTCGGCGTTTAGTTTTTGGTGAACTCCTTTCTCCAGGATCTGGATTTCCCTTCTGGTTCCTGGGGACAGTCGTGCCTTTTCTGCTGCTTGCACTTCCGAAGAGGCCCAAGTACTGTAGAGTTCCTATATTTTTGGTGTCGGGGCTCTTCAAGCGCACCCAGAAAAGGAACCCTCGAACCTGAGTACGTCTTTGGGCCTATCGCAGAGACAGGGGACTCATGGAAACGTATGACAATTATGGCCAACACCTCTATGAACAGCACAGCGGCCTGGAGAATTAGAACTAGAGATTCCCACCAAAAGGGACCCAATCTTTTGGGACTGCCCATGGGTACTTGCTCTTACCGGCTAAGCTGGAAGCTCCTCGGACGTAGTAGGTGGGAATGATTAGCAATAGCATTCCCCGTATGGTCCCTCTGTAGTTGTAGCACGATATAAAGCCCCAACAGCTATTCTCATTATCAAGGCCCTTATATTATCCCTTAAAGTCCTTGTGAATTTGACCGTTTTGGGATACCTGTCACCCGAACTGTGCCCAAGGCATGGAACTCATGAAGTTGTTGGTATTTGCAGCAACTTTATATTATAAGGCAAACCTATTGTCTCAATCACAAATACGGCCAGTCATGAAGAACAATGCTCTTGTCTGGAACCACAAACAAACTCTTGAACGTTTGCCTGAACTACTTCGTTTGGCGAGCTGCCATAGTCAGCTGGATGAATATCGCTGGTCCAGGGCTTGGGCGTTAGGTGTGCGGCGTCTGTAACCCAAGACGGGAGACCAGCATCATGCGCAACGGAAGATCCACAACAACAAGGGTTTTGAGTTCAGAGGTTTAGGGATTAGGGTTTAAGGGTTGCGAATACTCAGAGTTGAAGATTTGGCATTTCGGGCTCCACGTGTGTGAAGCGGACCCCGGCCTGTGTCCCATCTCCCCATGGCTGCCACCCGGTGCCCCAAGCTGCTAGGAGAGGGCACGGAGGGCACAGAAGCTGATAGCCCAAAGTTGCCGGCATGTGCAAAGAGGCTCTTCTCTCGCACCCTGCACCCTAAAGCCAAAAGCCCGAAATCCTAAACCCCAAAACAAAAAAAAAAAAACCTTAACCCTTTTGGGTTTGGAGTTTAGGTTCTTGACTGCTCGGTTGCTGTGAAGCCTGGGGTTGGGCCATTCGTATACGTAGTTGCTGGGCTCCATCGGCTCCGCACAACAGTGAAGCCGTCATTTCTGGTAAGATCACATTCACACACCCAGAATCAACAGGGTTGTTTAGGGTTTAGCGGTTAAGCGGTTTAGGGATTAGAAATGGGCTTTTTGGATTCATGGCAATTGAAAACACAAGTCTTTCGATGCCCTGCCTTTCATGCTCTCAGCCTTAACCCAGAACCCCCTAAAACTCCCAAATCATGAAGCCCAAGCTGCACATAAATCCGAAACCCGCCCCATGTCTGAAACCCAAAACTTCAGGCCCCTACTCTTTAATCCATACCGTGCCCTCATAGATTGCTTCAAGGAGCCCACGTGGCACCTTTAAGGGAAGCCCAGACATTGTTGTTATGCAGCCCCGATACTCGATTGGGGAAAGCGAATGCTGCCGTTTTTGGCCGTTTCAGGCGAGGCGCCGTCTCAGTCATCCGCGGCAGCGTCCTGATCCAGAACGGCTTATTGCCTTTATAGGGTTTGGGGTTTAGGGGATTTTAGCGGTTTGGGGTTCAGCGTTTAGGGCAGAACACATTGTGCTCGGCTGCTGGTGAGTCTGAACACTGGGTGGAAGATCCAGGATGCTGCTGGAAGTGCCTTGTCGGAGAGTTCTTCGGGAATGTCCAAGAGATAAGTCGAACGTACGGCCAATGCATGAGCGGCTCATTAACCGCTTTGGGCTTGAAAGGAGGGCCGTTGGGTTGATCGCGCCAAGTTCGACCCCATAGCCGAGTACTAATTTTAATTGATGGGAAGCACCAAAACTGCAAAATGGGTTTGAGGTGCAGAAAGAAGTCTACGCCCCAAACCATGGCATAGTGTACTCCGAAATACAAAGCCGTCCACCTAAGCTACTCCGTGGCCAGTCCGTCTGTTCAATTCCATCCCAAATCGACGTAATATAGGAGCCGACATAACTAGCAATACTATTTTGGGGTTCCTTATTATGCCTGTAGTACAATGTACCCCAAAAGTCCTACTCTAATTTTTTGAGGCCCCTATAGTACTGAAGCAGGTTGCAAGGCAGCCGGGCAATTTTCTCGTCTCACGATGCATGGAGTAAAAAATCACAAAAGAGTAAACGAGACAAGACAGACCTTCGCTGGAAGTTAAAACCCGAAACTCCGTTGGGTCGCCGGCTCATGGGCAATAGACATCCAGAGCCCTGCGCCCCTGCAAAGACGAAGAAATGTGGAGGGGGCCTGTTTTCATTCAAAGGAAAGCAATCTAAATGCAAACATTGAAATGGGCGGTCTGCCAAGATGGACCCGAAGTTGCTGCGACGGCAGTGCGAAGCAGCTGCCCCTATACTGCAAATCGAAGCAGTTTTGAGGTTTGGGATGTAGTGGTCCTTCTTGCAGACCGGTGTGTGACTGCGGCCTCGTTTGTGAGCTCATGCAGGGTGTGAGACCCCAAACGTGCAAATTCATACAGGTTGGGAAATCACTCAGACGTCTTTGTGTCCCGCAGTCCGGGCACCAGCCAAAGGACAATGCTCTGTGCGGTTGAAAGGGTTCTGCAGTTTTTGCAAACCGTACGGCTTTGTACTTTCTGGCGACACAGCAGCAGCAACAACAACAACAACAACAACAACTACTACTACTACTACTACTACTACTACTGCTACGACTGCCACTGCCACTGCCACTGCCACCGCTACTAGTACTACGACGAGGATGTGTCACCACATATTTTTGAAACTCGAGAGAGGCACTATTCGCGAAAGAATTGACGAGGCATGCCGTGGGCATGTCGCAGTCAGGCGTCGCTCTCTGCTCTGCTCGGAGAATCGGATAGCTCTTGAAGGTGCCAGCGTCTACATAGGGTTTAGGGTTTAGGGTTTTATGTCATAGCCTGTGACTTGGCAACTCAAGCCAGTCTACTTTTTGCCATCGTCTTTATCGTTATAGTTCTATGCACCGTGCACAGAGAGGCGGAGAGGCGCGCTGCGCTTGCAACTGTTTGTTGAAACGGCTGCTGTCTACTGCCCGAAGACGCTCCGGAGAAAGAATCAACCACTCACAGCACTTCTGGCATCCGGACTTCCCAAGCGCTTGGATCCGCAGTTACCTTTGTAATCCCTTCCCACTATTATTAAAGCCTCCCCTAATATTAAAACTGCCGCC